TAGAAATATTCCAACTGTGAAAGAAACTAAAAAGAGAGAAACTTGAGAATAATAGGAAAACATTTAGGATTGAAAAACAGATCAACTATTGAATTGCTTAAATAATGTGACTATGGTGGTTATTAAATAAATAATAAATATTTTAATAAATGACCAAATAAATAATAATAATATAAATAACAAATAAATAAAATAAATACAAATTAAATTATCATAAAGGTGGTTATTAAATAAATAATTAGTAAATAAAAAAATAATTAATACAAATTAAAAAAATAATTACAAATTAAATTATCAGAATGGACTTTATCGAAAGATATTATTTAATGACAATCTAAAGGAATAGAAACTAAATATGAACTCTAGCAATCTGACCATAGATGTCTTAGATGAAGGGACAATTCAATTATGTACCATCAGTATAATCATGAAGGACCATGGAGAAAGGAATAGGAATAGATCGATAAATAATAAAAATGTGCCCATGGATACAAATTTTGACGAAAATTGATCTTTCATGAACTAGAGAAATGGATGGAAACTAAATAAAACCCTGGAGGACATGATTAATAGAAAGATTAATTTAAATAAAATTAGTGTAATAGCAGATAAAAAAAATAAATATGCATTAAGAAGAGATGGCGGGAAATGAATTTAATTAACGAAAATAATTAAAAACCTTGCATGTCCTCACATGGGTGAATAATAATTTAATTGACAAAAATCATTAAAAACTAATGCATGACGTATTAAAAGGGATCAAAAATTAAACAATAATAAAAATAATATGACCATGAAGGACAAACCCGAAGAAACTAGGAAGCAATTAAATAGGCATTAAAAAATGTGAAATTTGGAAATAACAAAGAATTGTGACTAAGCTAAGCCTTTGTATAACTACACTCCGTTAATCTCAAACATCTAAATCCACCTTGGCAGAGCTCCCCGCCGGACCGCAAGCAGACCAACAACTCGACAAGTCCGACGCTGCGCCCGAAGCCGTCGGCCCATTTGACCGGACGCGGGGCGCAGTTGATCAACATGATACGGAACAAGAAACTGGATGCTGGCACACCCTATGCACTGGCCGCCTCGACGTCGGCGGCGACTCGCGGCCAGGGAACGCCCGCTCGCCAAATGGAGCGCGCCGAGCTGGTGTCGACGCCCACCTGCGAGCTGAACGAGCTGACCGCGGCGGAGCACACGTCCACGCCCATACAGCAGGCGAAGGATCTGTTGATATTCTCGAAGCGACTGCCATCGCCTTCGGCGAGTCCGTCCGCGTCGATATTGAAGCGCAAGCTGCGCTGCGAGAGCATCGATGACTTTGAGTCGCCGGCACTGAAGCGCAAACGGGTCAGTTTCCATGATCCGCCCGTCTCCATAACGAAGGAGTATCTGCGCGACGTGGAGGAGACGCGCAGCGGCAAGCCGAAGCGCTGCCTGCTGCTCGACAAGCTCGCCCAGACCACGGAGGTGCGGCAGGCGCTGAAGCGACGCGGCCGACTGGACAGCATCATCGAGATTGAGAAGTTTGCGCACGAACAGACCGCGAGGAGCGCGGCGGTGGACAAGTCAATGGACAAGTCCCACGAAGCAGTGGAGGACGAGGCTTTCGATACGCTCAAATGGAACGATACGACAACGACAGCGGGCGGCGAGGAGAAGACTCAGCCAGAAGCCGAGGCTCTGCCTGCAGCCACGCCCAGTCGTGACCTGGCCATACTCGATGCAGATTCCGCACTGGATCTGGTTGTGGAGCAATGCTCGCTGGACTCTGTGCTGGAGCGTTTCTTTGCCAAATCGCACAGCTCGCCGCTGAAGAGCGCCCTCAATCTGGCCAAATTCCTGTCCAATCAGATGAAGTCCAACGACAAACTGAAGACCACGGTGCTGGAGACGCTGTCCGAGAATCATTCCAAAGATTTTCTGGATCATGCTGTGCGCGAGAACCTGTCCTCGGTGGTGTGCGATCGCCTCAATCTGAACTCGGTGCTGGAGTACATTTGCGCCAAGTCGAAGATCAACAACGCCTGCCGCACCAGCCTCTTGGGCCAGGTGCCGGCGATGATACGCCTGGAGGCGGAACGCTTGGGTCTGCTCCAGCAGCTGCTGCAGCAGTGCAGCATCGGCGATGACCAGCTGCTCGATCTCATTGGCCAGTTGATGCGGATGCGCGACAATCGGAGCAACTGCATCATTGCCAGCGGCAGCGGCGGCGGCGGCAGCATTAATGACAACGTGGCCGAAACTGCGGCCGACTCATCCTCCAATTTGTGAGTCGAATATTACTTCCTGCAAGTATTTTATATCTATTTTTGACGGCCATTATCAAGAAATCGTTTGACCTGATATTTGCCGTAGCCTAAGTTACATTTTTTTATAGTTATACGCTGTTTATGGCACCTGCTTTTTTATGGTTTACCCTGATTATAAATACAAATATATATGGAATACAAACTATTTTTACCCAAAACATGACAACACTTGCATCATTTAAAACAAACTTATTTTCTTATGCCTCGCCCCTCTATTCGATTCTCATGGATGTAAGCAGCTCTCCTTAGTTGTGTGTTGGCTCTGAAAGATTGGGTTTAGTGATTAAGCAAACCGACTCTAACTATCCATCTCTCGCTTTACTTCTCGCTCTTAAAAAATATAATAATAATAGTTATAAACAATTTAAAGCTGAATACTGCATATCTTCTAGTCGGTCACTTTCGACTTGAGCACTTACACTGCCCTTATATGTGATTCTCACAACCTTTTGCCCAGCCCTTCTTAGCTATTATAAATCAGGTCACACTGGTTTAGTATTAACCCCCATAAGCTTTATTCACAGCATAAGCTCTTAAGTACCCATTTTGACCCACTAACCTTCAGTCGACTTGAGCACTTACACTGCCCTTATATGTGATTCTCACAACCTTTTGCCCAGCCCTTCTTAGCTATTAGAAATCAGGTCACACTGGTTTAGTATTAACCCCCATAAGCTTTATTCACAGCATAAGCTCTTAAGTACCCATTTTGACCCACTAACCTTCAGTCGACTTGAGCACTTACACTGCCCTTATATGTGATTCTCACAACCTTTTGCCCAGCCCTTCTTAGCTATTAGAAATCAGGTCACACTGGTTTAGTATTAACCCCCATAAGCTTTATTCACAGCATAAGCTCTTAAGTACCCATTTTGACCCACTAACCTTCAGTGGAGGACTTGGCTACGTCGTCGCCGCAAAGATAAGATTACTAAGTATGCGAATTAGTATGCATATTAAGTGTTAGTAGAGGTACTACGAAAAGTCGCAAGCATTAAGATTTGTTTGCATGTGTGTTCGCCGTGTACAATTCCATTGATAATGTTCACGTGCGAACATTCCGTCTCGCCGTGAGCTTTATCTGCCGTCGGCGTCGTCTGCCGACATCGTCCGACCGAGCTTTAGAGCTTTCCGGGTGGGCGGGCGGCGCGCAACAGTTGCGTTCCCGTGGCCGGCAGAAATGACCAAGAGCTGAGAATCTGCTACGATTAAACGATACTTTTATATCAAATGCAGATACCAAAAGAAAAGACAGCAAAACCCAAATAATCGCCTGACAAATTAGTCGAGCACATTTTGGCAAGGTTATTTGTAGGTCTGCACTTTGCGGGTCTGGGTCTGGCTATATAAATAGCCTGCTGTTGCCTTTCTTCTGGCTAGACAAATGTTGCTGACCTAACCCAAGCTGCTGGACGTCATCGTGCACGTCCAATATGTCTGCTCCCTGTCTAGAAAATGGTTTCTTCTTCCTCCTCCACCCGGTTTACGTCTGGCATGAATTAGCACTGGATTTGGGCTTCAGCTGACGTTTATAATTTTGGTTATTTCATTTGTGTTAGCTGTTGCTAATGAATCATTCAATAATCGCGGGAAACTAATTGAAATGCGTAAAGCATTAGACGAAATTCCGCTTATCAATCGGAAATTCAAGGGTACACTGCACAGCAGGAAAATAGTTTCGTGCAGAGGCTGGAGTAATAGCTAGGTATGGAAAAAAAAAACGTTAAAATAATGGGAAAAAATTTTGAATAATGGGAACAGAGAGAGAAAAAAATACTATGGGAAACTTTAAACGGTTTAAAAAAATATATAACACATAACAACATAATTTTACCATTGATTTCGATACGCGAAAACAAAATTAAAAGACTTTTATTTTATAAACATATTTTAACTTCAAAATCAACTGTCAGACTTAAGCATTGTAATTTTTAAAAACTGAAATTTTATTGTGCAGTGTTTGGAATATTTTTATCTTTTATGACGCGTCGTGCCGCCATTTACCAGCCTAGATATGCGAGTAAGTACTCCCATTGTATCTACAGACCGGCAAATGTGCAAACAAATTGAATAATCACAAAGTCATGGGGTGAATATAATGAATATGCCTGGGTACGACGAAAAGATACCCTTATTTAGTTATATTTAAGCTTTTATGAATCAGAGACCTGCATAATATGAAAATGAGTTATATGAGGGCTGAACCTTGTAATTTAAGATCGCGTTTTAGAAATCCGTCATGCTATTAAATTTTAACTATTAGCTTAGCATGCCCTCTCTGTGTATTCTACGACAGGGCAGAGCATTGTTTAAATATGTGTGTCTAAAGATATGAATATAGAATAGCGCTCGGTTAGTTACAAATAGAAAATAAACTAGTAGATAAAAATAATATAAACGACGCCGTGTGCTGCTCAGTTCAGCCACAAGGTGAACTCATCATTCACGAATAAACGAGTGTGTGTGAATAGTTCGTCAGTTTCAGTTTTTTGCCGAGTGCTTGCTAGCCAATTAGACGTGTGCTATAGACGCGAGAGCGGATGTAAGAACAGCTGTTTATTAGAGTAACGGCAAGAAGGGAACAGTTCGACAAGTTGCAAAATTCTCTGAGCCAAAAAAGCTGCACATGCAACGGCAACAGCTGCTGCACAGCCAACCAGCAACAGCAGCCAACCAGCCATATAGCCAGCCAGCTGTGTGGGGTTATACGTGAACGGTCAGCGTTTAGAGCGACGACGACTATCAACGCACACGGACGGGGTAGCAGAGCAGCAGACAGAACTGTTCACAAATTTCCAGCAGCGACGATTACGAATTTCCAGCATCAGAATAACAACAACGGTAAGCTAATACACAATTTGAACAAGCTCAAAGCGGTCGCGCGGGCAACAACAGCAGCGGCAGCAGCAGCAGACCGAGCCGAGTGCGAACTAAAAGTGAATAAAAACTCTGATGTAATCATTCGCTATTACGCTCGCCACAAAAAAAAAAAAAAATATCAAATCACATTGAATTTCTTCAAAAATCGCCACCCGTTGTTGCCGCTGTGGACTTTGTTGGATTTTATTCAGCTTTTATTGCGTGCCGCGAACGGTTTGGCTGGAAACAACTCAAGGTAAACATTTGGTAGGCGTCTGGAAACGCATAAACGACGCAGCTCAAATTGTGGGTTAATTCTTATGCGTTTATTCAACACTGGGCAAAGCTTTGTTTGAGCACTAACCAAAAAACATATAGACCGGACATGCAGAGTAAAATAGGTGGTCTCCAAAAATTGGTTTGCATCTGGTCCAACGAGCGAGTAAAATATACATATGACATCTTTTGATCGCTCACACTACAGGAAACTCCTTTGGCTTACTCTCTTCCATATGATTTGTGCGATAGAACGGCATCGCTGTTTTTTATCTCGCTCCCACTACAGGAAACTGCTTTGGCTTACTCTCTTCCATATGATTTGTGCGATAGAACGGCATCGCTGTTTATTTTTATCTCGCTCGCACTTACTCTCAGTGCTCTCAATGCTCTCTTCATGTCTAGGTACCGTTTAAATGTTTGTGTGTGCATGTGGCCGCACAAGCAAAAATGGCCCACAAATTCAATTTTTGTCAAAAGTCGGTGGCATTTCTTCCCTCTTGAGGGGACGAGTAATATGAAATCATGAAAGGGTTTGCCAAGTCGATGCGAAATTCTTTCATTTTAGCTCGGTATTGCTGGAAAGGGTACCTAAGCGTTGGCATGTGTGCATTTAAAAGTTTTTGGACTTGCTATTCACGCATACTTGCATATTTTGTATATGAATAGAAACATTTATGCGCTTGTGTGCCTGTTGGTCCCTGCCTGCCTGTCCGATCCAAATTTGACAATATTTTTGGACTTCTGAATTTCGAGCTCTGCGCATACACACACACAGACACAAATGTGTGTGAATGGGCAGATCATGGGCGCAAAAGAAAATATTATTTTTGGCCCGCGGTTGTCGCGCACCCTTCTTTTTATGATTTTGGGGTTGAATCGATGAAAAAATGTTGACCCCTCAATACCTGCAGATCCAATTCATATATGAAAAAGCTAAATATTTAAAGACAATAAAATTATGAATACTATAAATATATAATTGCTCCTATTTTGTATTTGGTATATTTTGAATATTTTAAAGATTTTATTTTTACACAATTTTCTTAAAACTAGTTAAGTGATCAGTCACTTGACCCAAATATGCAGGTACAGGTGCTTGGCAAAATTTTACCCTTTCCACCCAACGGGCTGCTGCAGGGGTCAACATTTTTTCATCGATTCAACCCCAAAATCATAAAAAGAAGGGTGCGCGACAACCGCGGGCCAAAAATAATATTTTCTTTTGCGCCCATGATCTGCCCATTCACACACATTTGTGTCTGTGTGTGTGTATGCGCAGAGCTCGAAATTCAGAAGTCCAAAAATATTGTCAAATTTGGATCGGACAGGCAGGCAGGGACCAACAGGCACACATGCGCATAAATGTTTCTATTCATATACAAAATATGCAAGTATGCGTGAATAGCAAGTCCAAAAACTTTTAAATGCACACATGCCAACGCTTAGGTACCCTTTCCAGCAATACCGAGCTAAAATGAAAGAATTTCGCATCGACTTGGCAAACCCTTTCATGATTTCATATTACTCGTCCCCTCAAAAGGGAAGAAATGCCACCGACTTTTGACAAAAATTGAATTTGTGGGCATTTTTGCTTGTGCGGCCACATGCACACACAAACATTTAAACGGTACCTAGACATGAAGAGAGCATTGAGAGCACTGAGAGTAAGTGCGAGCGAGATAAAAATAAACAGCGATGCCGTTCTATCGCACAAATCATATGGAAGAGAGTAAGCCAAAGCAGTTTCCTGTAGTGGGAGCGAGATAAAAAACAGCGATGCAGTTCTATCGCACAAATCATATGGAAGAGAGTAAGCCAAAGGAGTTTCCTGTAGTGTGAGCGATCAAAAGATGTCATATGTATATTTTACTCGCTCGTTGGACCAGATGCAAACCAATTTTTGGAGACCACCTATTTTACTCTGCATGTCCGGTCTATATGTTTTTTGGTTAGTGGTTTGAGTCTACCTACGCACTGCTTCGGCATGTCATGGAACGAAGCGCGCCCATATCGATTTAACACACTTAACGTAATTTTTTTTGCTGCCAATTGTACATGTGTGCGTTGGAATGTTGGAATGAAACACACACGCACACACACTCGGTTCCAATGCTGCGCGCGCCGGCAGCGCAGAAAAGTTCGCAACAAAAAGCTTGAAGTGCTCTCCCATTGCTTTTGCGCTCTCACTACAACAAAAGAGAGCGACGAAAGAAAGAGACATTAACGAAAACAAAAACAAATAAAAGTGCTTAATATGCCGTTTAATTAGATTTTAAAAATAATTTTTAATTAGCTAAACAACAATAAAGAGAGCGTTTCGTTGCCTTAAGAGAAGATGTCGTCGCGCATGTTTAAATTCGGCGTCACCGCCGCCAGCGCCTGTGTGGGCTCTGTAATTGCCTCCTGGACCATCGATCGCTGGAACTCGCCGCATGTGGTAAGTGCAGATGACTTTTGGCCATTAGCCAACCCTTAACCGAATGTGTGCTCCACAGGTCAACAATGCCATGCAACGCCCACCCAAACGCAAGCGCACCCTGCCCATGCGTAGCGAACAAATCAAATCCCTGATGAGCGGCGAGGAATTTGATGTGCTCATCATTGGCGGCGGCGCCACGGGCGCTGGCTGCGCCCTCGACTCCATTACAAGAGGTTCGTACGAAATACCCCTCACAGTTAACAGTATTTAAATGGGTCGCTTTGACACAGGTCTAAAGACGGCGCTCGTCGAACTGGATGACTTTGCCAGCGGCACCTCATCGCGCTCCACCAAGCTAATCCACGGTGGCGTGCGCTATCTGCAGAAGGCTATTCTAGGCGTAAGTATCCCAATTATTCAGAATCTATTTAAGCATGTATAACTAGCAGGTATTACCCAGCCTAAGTACAATGTTATCACCTAGTTGCTAGGCCTTAATCCCGGGCTGGAAAACTTAATCTAATGTTACCGGGTTATACCTGCGAGTCTAATAAATAGGAGTAAAGCTTAGCAACCTATCCTAGATCGTAGTACTCATTCCTAAGGCTAGAAGTAATGCTTGTCTCCATGTATTTCTCACTATCGCTACAGCTAGATCTTGAGCAATATAGAATGGTTAAGGAGGCGCTGGCGGAGCGCGCCACAATGCTTGAATCGGCGCCACATTTGACGCATCCGCTGCCCATTATGCTGCCCGTTTACACGTAAATAGCAAATCGACCTCTGTCCAGGCGGATTTATAAATATTATTTGCATTTCAGGTGGTGGCAGGTGCCCTATTTCTGGGTGGGCATCAAGGCGTACGATCTGGTGGCCGGCGATCGCAATGTGAAGAGCTCGTATTTGCTGTCCAAGAAGGATGCTCTGGAGCTGTTTCCCATGTTGAAGAAGGATAAGTTGTGCGGTGCCATTGTCTACTATGATGGCCAGCAGGATGATGCCCGCATGTGCCTGGCGGTGGCTTTGACAGCTGCTCGACATGGCGCCACCGTCTGCAATCATGTGGAGGTCCAGGAGCTGCTCAAGAAGGACGACGGCACCGGCAAGAAGGTGCTGTGCGGCGCCAAGGTCAAGGATCATATCTCTGGCAAGGAGTTTACGGTCAAGGCCAAGTGCATAATCAATGCGACTGGCCCCTTCACCGACTCCATTCGCAAAATGGACGATCCGACGGTGAAGAGCATCTGCTGTCCCAGCTCGGGTGTGCATATTGTGCTGCCCGGCTACTATAGCCCCGATCAGATGGGTCTGCTCGATCCCTCAACATCCGATGGACGCGTCATCTTCTTCCTGCCCTGGCAACGACAAACAATTGCCGGCACCACAGATCTGCCCTGCGAAATAACGCACAGTCCCACCCCGACCGAGGATGAGATTCAGTTCATCTTGAGCGAAATCAAAAACTATCTCAACGCCGACGTTGAGGTGCGTCGCGGCGATGTGCTGTCCGCCTGGAGTGGCATACGCCCACTCGTCTCCGATCCCAACAAGGAGGACACGCAGTCCCTGGCGCGCAACCATATCGTCCATGTTAGCCCCTCGAATCTGGTCACCATTGCCGGTGGCAAATGGACCACCTACAGAGCCATGGCGGAGCACACTATGGATGCGGCCATCAAGGGTAACTATTCATAAAGATATCTTGTGTATAATCAGCTTGAACTGCCTTAATCTTTGCCAGCCTGCAACCTGAAGCCGGAGCGCACCGAGGCTGTCACATCGTATCTGAAAATTGAGGGCGGCCAGGGCTGGACACCCACCATGTACATACGGCTGGTGCAGGATTTCGGCCTGGAGTGCGAGGTGGCTCAGCATCTGGCCAAATCGTATGGTGATCGCGCCTTTGCCGTGTCCAAGATGGCATCGCTCACCGGCAAACGCTGGCCCATCATTGGCAATCGCATCCATCCCGAGTTCCCCTACATTGATGCCGAGATTCGTTATGGCGTGCGCGAATATGCCTGCACCGCTGTGGATATGATTGCGCGCCGGCTGCGTCTGGCTTTCCTTAATGTGCAGGCCGCCTCGGAGGCGCTGCCCGTCGTTGTGGACATCATGGCCGAGGAGCTGCAGTGGTCCAAGGCAGAGAAGGAGCGCCAGCTCAAGCATGCCACGGAATTTTTGGCCAACGAAATGGGACATACCATCAATCGTCAGTCCAAGGAAAGAATACCCATTAAACTGTCCAAGGAGGAGATTCAGACATATGTCAAACGCTTCGAGCTTATCGACAAGGACAAGAAGGGCTACGTCTCCATCAACGATATTCGCCGCGGGCTCAAGAGCTTCGGCGACGGCGATGTCTCCGGCGAGCAATTGCACGACATTCTCAAGGAGATCGACACCAACATGAACGGCCAGGTCGAGCTGGATGAATATCTACAGGTGCGTACTCACACAAAATCAAGCTTTATTTCATTTCACAATACACAAGACAAATATTAAAATACAAGAATTAAAATTGCAGTCGGTTATACCCGACTGCCTAATACTCGGTTCACAGTCTATTAAATCAGTCGTAGTCGTCCGGCTTTTTGGGCTGGCGACTCTAAGATTAGGCAGTGTCTATTTTCTTATTAAAATTATTTTGTTGGGCTTGATCTTAGAGGCGATAATATGAATAGTCTACAAGATAAATTTGGGCAACCTAGTTTTAAAATGGAAGATATAATTAAACACGCTGTCTGACACGGATATACACGGATTTATATAAATATTGAAACTTTGAATTTCTCTTAAACGGACACACGAACGGACATTGCATACAACACACTATTTTCACATCAAGCCGAGTCAAGTTACACACACATATATATATATATATATATATAATCAAATTGCACAGATGATGTCCGCGATAAAGACAGGCGATGTGGCCTATTCCCGGTTCGCTCGCATGGCCGAGCTGGAGGAGCAGAAGCACGAGGCGGCTAACCTGAAGCAGAAGATTAGCGTCGATCGCTCCGGTGGCGGCTTGTAAGTGACTTAAAGGACGAGGACTTCACGCGTACATCTAGAGCACATCTAAACTAGGATTAAGCTGCAACGAATTATACAAACTATATAAACAACTTCTTTACATTTTGCTGTTAATAAAGTCTTGAAACTCACACCGACAGCTACGTTACGCAATGCAACAGCTACTGCTGGACTTGGCCGGAGGCTGTTGACTTGGAGCTGGCTGCTGCCTAGGAGCTGGCTGTTGCCCTGAAGCTGGCTGCTGCCTTGGAGCTGGCTGTTGCTTTGGAGCAGGCTGTTGCTTTGGTTCCTGCTTTTGCCTTGGAGCTGGCTGTTGCTTTGGAGCAGCCTCCTTCTGTCGTCCATTCCTTTGCTCGTCTTGGCTGAGACGTTCCGCGCGTGTGCCTAAGTTTTAAGCATAACTTGTTAGTTAACAGACGCCAATCGAAGTGCATTCTTTGAGTCCATCTTACTGAACGAGGATATGACATTTCTATCAATGTCCGCCGTCAAGTTGCCATCGGCACGCTCGAGCGTATAAAGATGTGCCACAACGCAGTTGAACATATCTTCGCGTTGACTTGGTGTGAATGCGGCAAACAAATCTAGTTTGGGATCCCAGAAAAAGAGCAGCTTACCATTGCGGCCAGACGTTGCCAAGGAAGTCTTCAATTCTCTGCACATCTAAAAAACGGACGGAAAAAAGGACAGACTTTATTTAGCTGAGATATTAAAATGGGAACTCCAAACCGAGTTGACTAATATGTCCTTTTAGACACCAGAAAGTTTATTAGCTATTATTATTATTTATAAGTGTTCCTCAAAGTTATGTCAATTTACACTCCCATTTTAAAAATATTATATTGATCAATCAGGTAAATTTCAATGTAGAATATATTGTAGATTACATTGAAATCAGACTCAGAATCGATATAATATTTATAAAATTAGATTGTGAATTATAAATAACTTTGAGAAATACTTTAACTTTCTAGGAGCATTAATTTTCCTATAGTACTTACGTCAATTAATATATCCTTTAGCGTCTTGGTACTCCAATAGGAGTCGGATTTGTGCTTGACTTGCCATAGAAACAGGGTCTTAATGTAATAGCTCTTTAGATTGTTCATATTTTGTTTGCTATCGCGAAACTTCTTCATAAACTTAATAGTTATCTTCAGCTTTTGTTTGTCCTTGATCATCACATTTTCGGCATCGTAGTAGGAGGCGCGGAATGATACGTTATTCGGTTCGAATGGCTTCAAGGGTTTCGGTATCGCATCCCAATAGCGAATATCCTTAAAATACTTGAGCTGCTCTGGCTCCAAAATATTTTGTCTGGCAATTAACCTGATGGCTGGCACAAAATCCACCGAGTATTTAATACCATTGTCATTGATAAACATCGTGTGCGCCGGACCACATCGTCTGTAGACCACCGAGGTGGCCCTTCCGTTCACCTCAATTTGGTTGCCCATTTTGTTAAGAGCTCGTGTCATGGCACCGTTTATCATACCCTGCAGCTTGTCCTCGAGCAGCAAATTCCTATTTGTGACCAATTTCTTCAAACCCGTGTATGAGACCTTGTTGTGCTCCTGTTTTTCCAGAGCATTCAGCACCTCGGTCATGTCCAAGGTAACATTACCGGGTCGCCTGGGATCCTTTTTCACAATAATCCTGTCATTCTCGGGAAACTTCAAATGAATTACCAAATCGAATTCGTCCGGCTTCGTGATCTTCAAATTGTCCGCATAACTTCCTGTGTAGCATAGTTATATATATATATATATATATATATATATATATATAGAGTGTAGACCGTATGACTAAAGCTCAAATAAAGTCTTTATCGTATATTCCAACTGTCAGCCTGATAATTGATCCGTTCACACAATCCCTTATCGCATCTAGTTTTATAGCTTCCTGACCTAGGGGCTTTCTTGGAAGCAGTTAGTTGCACGGAAATTGATAAGATCCCAATTTTGATTATAAATTGAAATAATGCCGTCAAACATTAACTGAACCGTTATCGTTGGAATATCGCGGACTGAAAACCTGCTGATATTTAGTCTGATCTAATGTTCCAATCTGATAAAGCAATCTTGTAATTCGTAAGGTTCGAAAATACATCTAGAAAAATAATATTAGATTTTATGCAAAAATAAGCTATATGAAAAATTATTTCGTTTTTGATAGGAGTGCGAGGATTAAATTGAAGCTCGTAATTTGACTAAAATTTTTTCATACATGAATTAAATTTTCCGCAAATTGTTTCTACATGTAAATAATGTGTGAGAAAGTAAAACATGGCTATATCAACTCATATTCTATCTGATTAAGAATATATATGTTCATTTCGTGAGACTGCAAAAATAATTAGATTATACCCGGCCATTGCAGTCTGAGAAAAAACAGTTAAATGTTTTTTTGCAAACGGAAATCTGAACTTCCAGCACAGCGAACCGCGCCCCTTAGCGAGGCGGCACATGCTTACATACACACACATGCACGCACTAAGGAACACACACACGCACATACAGACATACAGAGCATATATGTATTGTTGGCTTTCCAGTTGCAAACGCCACGTAGTCACGTAGCGAGCCGGAAAAAGCAATTGCACTTCCTTTTTTGCTTGGGTTTCACTTACCACCCAATTTGTGGCCACATAGCCACTTGCCTAGTGGCTGCTCCTCCTGCAGCGTTTTGTAGAGCGTATCTCGCAGTATATTATAATGATTCGTGAACAATTGGCGATCGCCATTGATATTTATATATTCTGCATTGGCTGTATGTAGACTCTGCTCTAGAAAAGACATTTTTTCGCACTTCCACTGCACTTAACTGATCTTAACGTGTCTAACACCAAGAATAAACTGAAACGACAAACTGCAAACTGTAAAGAAGAAATTTAAGAGAGCGTCTCAGCTGAGGCAGCCGGCATGGCATAATCTCAGCGATTACGAAGCGAACTGAAGGCTCGCTCGCCCACTCTCTCGCTCTCCCTCTCTCTGCGCTTCTGAGCTACGTCACGTGCAACTACAAAAATTTGTTTGCTATGTTCAGAAATGATTTGCAATTATCTTACTTTTTGATGCTTTGTACGTTTTAGTGTGCCACAACATTTTTGAACTCGTAGAAAACACAAAAAAATAAATGTAATTCTAAATAGATAAAACTCTCTCATTTTGAATAATTATTTATAAATAATTTGAATAATTAAAATATCAAACTTCATTTTGTGGATACTTTCTAAAACCAATTCTAGCTGGATTAAAAAAGCAGAAAAAAAGACTCAAAAAATAGGTCATATTTATTTACTACTCAACTCATTCCCACATTTCAATAAAAATAAGATTGGTTTGTTGATCGAATTAGTCAACTGTTATACAATAATTTCCTTGATTTTTAAAACTTAGGAGAAACCACATAACTAAATTTAAAGAAATTAGTTTTTGAGGCAAACGCACTTTTGAGTTTTTTTATGCTCAGTATCTTTCCATGTAATCTTATACTGTTTGCTCCATGTGCCATAAACATTGCTCGCTCAGAGAGAGCCGAATGACCTACACAATCAAAGTCAATCCGGTATCAGCGATTTTCTTTGTATGTGTCGAATATTGGCGGGCGTATCGCCAGAGTGTTTATACATTGTAAGCAATTGAGTTTTTATGTTTGTTTGCTTATGGGGAAATGTCTGCACACAAGAAATACATTTTCGGGACTTCCCTTTATTTAAATTTCATTTCTGTTTTTTGGTTCATTTTGAGACTTCTTCTTTTATGATCGTTCAGGGTGCAGGTCATTTATCAAAAGGTCAATATTGGCGTAGTTCTGTGTATTGCCTGAGAGCAGCCTATACAATGTAGCCTCTTGAGTTTGTATTCTTGTTTGTTTATGGGAAAAAGTCTGCAGTTTGCTTGATCCTTTACGGTGCAGGTTATATTTCAAACAGTGTTCAGATTAGTTGAAATAAGAAAACAGTTTCAGCTCGCCAAAGATTAAATTCCCTTGGATAAACAGTTTTAAAATTCTTGTTTGTAGGTATATTGTGATATATTTTCTGCCAATATGTTATATGTTGTTATATGTTAATAAAACAAACAACGTTGCTTATACAATAAATACACACATATATGTTTCTATGGCAGCTACATTGTCCGATCTAGCAGACACCAACATATGTATGTGTACTCCCTGCAACTTAAAGTTTACAGTTTTTAAGCTAAATACATCTGATTTGACTATATACATATATACGCATTTACTCGCGCATTTATTCTGGCCAGATAAAGTGCACGTACACCAGGCTACGGATTTAGCGCAGCAGTTTATATCAGCTAACCCAACTGTGAAGTCCCATAGAAAGGCACTTGGTACCCATTCATTTTTTAAGATTACAATTCAGATTACAATGTTGTTGAACCCAAGATGCAAATGAATTTATAAACATTTTATATTCGAAATTTCGACATTCGGCTGTACGTCATTCAATATAATCGTTTATTGTTTTTGTAGTTTATCGTCAATAGCTTTCTTTAAGTTTGTCCCAAAATCGTCTCGTCAGCTCTTTATGGCGCTGGTTATGTGATTTCTTGGCGAAATGCGAGGATCAAATATGGCCTCAATGTTTACTTGGCAACCTTGAGGGCGAAAACAAAACATAAACAAACAAAATGCAAAATCATTGTCTGAATAACATACCATGCTCTAGCAGAAAAATTCCGCGATCGTACAGTATAATGCTTTCCACTTCACATATAAAGTAAACAGTAAACAGCTAGAAGTATATTTTATAAACAAATCCCATTGAAATGCTCACCCAGAGGCGCCAGCATTAATCGCAGCGTATAAAAGCATACGATGCGACGCCAGTGCAAAAGATCTGCATCGATTTGGTCAGAGTTCGCAGCTTGCAGCAAGGCAAACCGCGTGCCTTCGATGGCCTTTTGAAAGTAGCTCAAATTGAAAAGGAAAACAAATGCATGCATTACTTTAAACACTATCAGTTCTCTACTCAGGGCTTACTCATTGAAACTCATGCCAGGCACATGTTTCACATTGCGCAGTGCCGAGTGCCTTAAGTCGGGCAACTGTTCGACAATAATCCGCTCGGCTGCGGCGCGTAGCGCGTGTATCTTTAGATATTCATATTGTCCAGCTTGAAGGCGGTCACTGTACTGTTCCATCGCGTGGCAAGCGATTTCGCGCGCCTCGTAGCTAAGCTGACAGTTGGCGTCGCTTTGCAGCCGCGAGCTAAGCGGATAGCCGTGTAGCTTCAGTCGGGGCTGGGTTTGCTGTGTGCTCATTTTCTGATAACAGCAGCCGACAAAATTCAAGAATTTCGCTTGCTTACAGTTCAAAAACATGCGCATTAGCGTGGCGCCCAGATCGCCGCACGGGTGCAGTCCAATGATGCCGAATTCGAAATCAGTGTCTGGCAAGTGGAAAGCCTCCCGTATGCTCTCGATGAATTGCACTGGCTTTGTGTCGCTGCTGAGACGCTGTGTTAGGTGCACTGGTCGCTTAAAATGAGTTCTTTCGCTGGCCTCCATGTGTTTGGCAGCCATGCTCTCCAGTTTGGCATCGATTGCCACCGCTTGCTCATTCAAATCCGCCTGCATTTCAAGGCAGCAAACGTTGATGCCATAGCCATAAGCCAGTATGCGGGCCAAGTGCCCTACGCCGGCTCCAAAGTCTACCACAAAGTCAACCGATGTCTGTTGGCAGCTGCGCGCGCAAATTGCGGCCATTCTTTTGATTTCATGCGACTTTTTTGGCTTTACACACTTCATGAACATGTGCTTCAGCTTACGGTGCTCCAGCAGTGGGCAAGGCGGCAGTGCAACCTGTGCATGAACAGCCGTTAATATGTCATACCAACTTTTATTAGCTTACCAACATCAAGCTGCTTCTTAGGTGTCCTTCTGATGCACAGAGTGCGCAGCACCTGGCGCAGTGCTAACAGCTCCAGGGGCCACAGCACACGTGCGTTCATGGAATCGACGCCCTCACTTTGCAGCAGCTCGCTCAACTTTTCTAACGGCAAATCTTCCAATTGTCTCCGCCAGCTTAAAGGAAGTTTGCTCCAATGGTCATCCACATAAAAGTCCTGCCGAATCAAAGAGATCGCGTCATATGGATTAGGAAGAAGCGAAAAGACCATTTACCAGCACATAGGAATCCAATAACCACTCGTATGTTTTAACTACATCTAAACAGGCGGCAAGTTTGTTGTTAATATCAAGCATGTTGGCCAGCTTTAGCAGTAGGATTTAACAGCTGATTAGGCGCGCACAAAATTATTTTTAAAAAAAATTGAATTGTTACTTTTGCTGCGCAAACAGGTAAACAACCAGGGATGCGCACTAGTTATCGTTTTACCAGATTTTTCTCAGCATTACTCAACACTGTTTATAATCGAAATATAGCTAAGTCGATAAATCAAATCAGAAGTCGTAGTCGAGTTCAGTATTTTCGATAGTTAGATAGAGCTTTCGATGTTTCGTTTTCAACACTGGTAAACAGGCTGTCTACCAATAATAATAGGAAAGAAAAACACATCGTTCGGGCCTAATTGGCCATTAAAAACGGAAAGAAAACAATAGAACGCGCTGCAGTTTGTAAGTGCTTCATTAAAAAAGTGTGAAGTGATGTATTGAAGAGTATTTGTGCCTGGCCAGGGCATTTTTCTAATCCCTTAAGGGTGGAGACAGGTATACACACATATATATTGGCAGTGCCGTTAGCTAAAGCGAAGTGAAAATGCATCTGCACCCAACAAATGGCAATATTTGCGAGCAGATATGAAAGAAAACTACCAATTGACGACACCGAGGCAATAACTTGCGAAATAGCAACAGTTGAGGAGGTCGACGGACATACGGTAAGTGCAGCTGCACATATGAAAATTAACATCGCCCAAAAGAAAAATCAATAATCTGCGACGCAGCTGCCGCCGCTGTCGCCGATTTGTTGATGACGCCGTTTTGCATGATGACGGTGTCTGGCTGTGTGTGTGTGTGTGTGTGTATATGTATACAAAATAATTATGTTTCTTTGCAGGAATACCTGCTGCGCGTGCAGAGAGGTGATAGCTCCTGGAACGTTCTACGCCGTTACAATGACTTCAACAAGCTGCACAAAAGTCTTCGTATATCTGGCATTGAATTGCCGCTGCCTGGCAAACGCATCTTCGGTAACATGCGTCCGGACTTCATAGCTCAACGGAAAGAAGCATTACAAGTTTACATAAACACAATACTAATGAATCCCATTTTGGCATCATCGCTGCCAGCCAAGCGCTTCGTTGACCCCGAAAGCTACTCGCAATCATTCCATGGTAAGTAAGACTAAATTGATAATTAAATGTAACAAAATCATTTTTAACTTAATTGCAGACCATGCAGTGCAACATGCTTTGCTCTGCTTACGCAACGACACGGTGTGGACACTGGGTGCCACCATGGGTGCGATAGGTTGGCGGCTACGCAAACATTACTTTAAGGCGACTACCAAGCCGCCAGAGAAGAGCAGCAACAAGTTGGTCAAGAGCGGCTCACAGAACCAACAAAGCAAGCATTTCGCGGCTGGCAGCAATGGCGGTGGTCACTCGGTATCGATTGATGCGGGCACAGTGGATCCGAATGCGGAAATGGTGGCCGAATGGTTGGAGTACGGACCTGACAAGTACGTCGATGACAAGGAAATGAATGGCGTGCTGAAAAGCCTAATGGGCCTACAGCATCCGCACATTGAGTCCATAGTGCTGGCAGGGCACACCGAAAACGGTTGCTTGATCATCAGAAAGTAGGTGCTCCTACCTCCTACATATATATAATTCTAAGCCTGGCTTTTTACAGATTCCATAAGCATGGCACTCTCAAGGATGTGCTCTGCATGGCAACGCCAAAGAATCCATTTTTGAGCAAGTACGGCAATCCCAAAGGACGCACAGCTCTCTCCATGAAGCAAGTGGCGACCTATGGCAAGCAAATTTTAGAAACTCTTATATTCTTGCACTCTAAAGGCTATGCTTACGGTTAGTTTATTTAAATTTCGATATAAGGAAACATAATTGTAATTCGATTTCCATTACAGGTCACTTACATTCGGGAAATATTGTCATAGTGGATGACTGCGTCAAGCTGTTGGACGTTGAGAACTATTTGGTGGGTGTGCCGGCGTTTTATCGACCATTTTTCGTGCAGCACAGCAAGATACATACAATTGAGACAGTTGACGTTTACTGTTTTGGTCATGTGCTGTTCGAAATGGCCATGGGCTATCCGCTGCAGGAGTCGGTGGTGCGACAAATTACAGAATGCCCCGAAGCATTAAGTAAGATCAGGTTAATGAATTAGTGTGTTATATTGCTAACGAAATCTCTTACCCTACAGAATCTCTGTTGGAGAGCATACTATCGAAGGAAGCATGCAAGACAGGCCTGCCCACACTGGAGCAACTGCTCGGTCACAGATTCTTTACGCAATATGCAACAGACAGTGGAACCACAGCCGAAAAGCCGTACTTCAAGTTGTCCCTGGTAAATTGTATAATTACTCGTATATAGTCTGTTTTCTAAATATTGTTTTATTTTTGTTTTCTTTGCAGAACGCAAAGGAATTGCTCAGGCAGGCGGCTGTTAAGTGCGAGAATCGTTTGCGTGATGAGCAAAAGTCGGTTAAGAACCAAAAGCGTATTGTACGCGTGCAGGAGCTAATGAGCTCCGAGGAGGAGAAGCGCAAATCAAAGCAAAAAGCTGTAAGTAGCAATTAAATGTGATTAGTTGTTACGTAGAAGCTGTAGTCGTAGGCTCATCAACACGGTTTTTTATTGTTTTCTTTTACTTTTGGTAATATTTAGAAATTAGAGCACAAACAGTCGAAGCTTAAGCAACAGGGTTCGCTCCAAGCAAGCAATGGACGCTTGTCGCTGGCGGCCGTGACAGCTGCATCGACCAGCACAGCTACTGTCGGCGGTGGGCTAAGTACAGCAGACTCTTTCAACCGCTCCGACAGCACCCCAGAAGAGCCCCATCTGGCTGGTATTAAATGTAGTTATTTGCTTTTATTTAGATTTTAACTACTCCCACGTCACACCTGAGCCTAACTATTTGTTTTCTGTTAATGTTCACAGCAATCATGCCAGCTGCGCAGCCGTTGCACCAGGTGCTGCCAGCGAGCAGCGCTGCCGTGGAGAGGCAGACATCGACTCCGAACATTGCAACAGAAGACGTTGACGCTGGCGAGGATGAGCCCACGCGCTCGGCATTGCTCGAGTCCATTTGCAAATTCAATCGCGGCTCCCTGCGCAAAGTACGCTCAAATGATTAGGCGATGCGCACAGAATTTTACATATTTACATTTTGGACCAAATGTGGCGTTATGAAATAACGGTTCCATTAAATTAAAAGGAAAAACAAAGAACAAATCAATGGAGAATAACCAAAAACAAAGAAATAGATACATTTTTAGATCCATATAACAATACATATTGGTAAACTAATGCATCTATTTATTGGCATACTTAAAGAAAACAATCCAGCAAATAACTATAAGTAACTATATATATATATATAAATACATATATATTTACTAACGAAACCCACTGAATCTGTGTCCACAAAATAACGTATAAAAGTGTTTTATGAACTCAAATGATATGTTCGTCTATATAGTAGTATATATACATATATCTATGAATGTAAGTTACAAATCACACACGTCTGCGATACGGAGACGACTTAAGGTCAAGCGTACGCAACTAAAGCTTTACATATACATATACATGACCACTACACGACTGAGACTAACTTTGGTACGAGTATCTTAAATGAAATTCACGATTTAAAACAAGAAGACAAAAAAAAACAATTTAAAAATTTCCAAAAATTGTTAACTATAAGTCTGCACCGAAATTCGCACGATGACGCTCTAAACAAATAATCTACTTATAACTATCATGCATATGTATATGTACTTAACCCAAATAATCTGTTCCTTGATGTTGTGCTCCCTCTTTTTTATTGCCGTTATGGTCTAGTATTGAGGACATACAAATGTAATACCTTGGCCAAATGTTGTACTGCTTTGTTTTTATTGGTATACTTTCTCTTATATTGATATTGATATAGACAATTTATACATATGCATTAGATGTTTGAAAGCGTAACAGACGCAATATTCAATTCAAAAGATATATTTATATATGTATACTCAAACCATAATGAACAAACTCATGAAACAATTGTAATTTGATATTGGTGTGTATGTTTGTATTCCTGTCTATGTGTTTTTATGTAACTGACTGTGTATATGTTCAAATATGTGTGTATATATGTATAAGAACATACCAAAACTAATGCGTGTAACGAAAACTATATGAGCAGCATATTATATTAACTATACATATATAAACCAAATAAAATGTAAAGTATTTATCGTTGTAACTCAAATAGAGTTTGAATAAGGAATACAAGCTAGGGTTAATTATATATGTTACCCTCTAAGCAACAGCTATTTGTATACAAAGTTTCTAAGATTAAGATCTCTGTCCTAACAGAAAATCAAAACCGGTTTCTAGATGACCCATAATATCCTTGGTCAATAACATACCATTGATATAGTCCTGGTGAACCTAAATCTCGAGAAATATGTATGCGTTTCTTTCAGCCTCCCCCTACTCCCTCTATGGTTCCTAGATGACCAATATATCCTTGGTTTAACCATACCATTGATAGAGTCCTGGGGAACCTATAGTTCCAAATCCCAGCAAAATTCGCTGAAAGCTTTATCCACAATTAAATTAAGGTTTAAAAATTAACGGTCGCAAAACCCCTATTGCACTGGGCCCAGCCGTTGGCTCACATTTAAAAAATCAAAATTCAGCTGAAATACCAGGCGAACAGAAATGCCCAGCAGGTAGACGCACATAAAAATTTTAATTTAACAGACCACTGTTAATTAGCAGCTGTTAATGAACATAGCACTGTTAACCAGCAGCTGCAGCTCTTACTTAACATACCACTTAACAGCTGCTGCTAAAAAGGGGGCGTCCGATTTTAACGAAAATTTGGCAAAAGTACCAGGCGAACAGAAATTCCCAGTAGGGAGATGAACTAAAATTTGAATGAAAAATTGCATTGCATAGCCACAAGGTGCAGCTATGTAAAATGGGTACTGAAAGCATAAAACATGCATATTTCTGGACCGATTCCGTGCGCATTTTGCAGGGATTTGGTCCTCTAGGTTTACCAGGACTATATCAATGGTATGGTATGACCAAAGAAATGTGGGTCCACTAGGTACCATCAAGGGGGGCTGGGGCTGTTGCTGGGTGATGGCTGAAAGAAAAAGCATTCATATTTTTTGACCATGTCGGTCATTTAGGTTCCCCAGGACTCTATCAATGGTATGGTAAAACCAAGGATATATTGGTCATCTAGGAACCATCAGTTTTGATTGTTCACCAGGACTATATCTATGGCATAGTGTAACCAAGGATAATGGTGGTCATCTAGGAACCATTTGTGGACTTTTACAATTGATTTTCTTACTTCGCATAAATTATGCCAAAAATATACACATTTTTGCTATAACAATTTCAATAACTCTACAGCCATAGTTCTAAAGTACTAAATTTATTAGACCTACTTATTTGTAGGCTGTTTTATTAGATGTTCTTTTCCATATCGTTTAATAAGACTTTATGCTAACATATATAAACTAACGCTAACGTTCTAAAGTGGTGTCAACATCGCCTGGCACCTGTGGTCTCTCGGCAAGGATTCTTGCTGCTTTGCCGCCTGATTCTTATCTCGCTTCCCGATTTTGTTGATATTCAGGACTTCTGTTGTATCTAGTAATTAGAAATATTGCTCTTGATATATTTGGTAGCTGAGTGGCCATCCTGCTTCCTGAAGTTTTTGAACGTTCAAGTTTAGTTGGGCTTTTTCATCCTGAAATGCCGATCGAGAGATAAAAGCACCGTGCCCTTTAAAAAACGCAAAAATAACAGTTAGTTAAAGCAATTATTCAAAGGAGAGTCGGCTTAGCCAAATCATTAGGTGAAATAAAGGTTTTTTAGTTTCAAAAAAATGAACTGATCTTAAGATGACCCACTTATGGCTATAAAAAGTCTACATCATTGTAAGGTAGGGTATGCAAACACACAAAAGTTTAAAACTTGTCCTATATAGATTTTCCATTTGAAAAAAAGCAACTTTTTACCAATTCCCTTCTAGTTGATTCCCATGAGAGCAGATAAAGCTTGTTAGTTCAAACAAAAAAAAATGTCAATTGTAGTTCTGCTTAAGTAAAAAGTGACTCGTAAATTTTTTACTCACTCGCTCTCTTTCTAGCATACATGGCATCTCCTAGTCGTGCCTGTTTTCTATTTATCAAAAGAATACTTGAATCTTAAGGTAAAGTTACCTGCATTCGGTTGGATGGCAGCTGGCAAGGTCAGTTAACCGAGTCGTGCCCGGTTAATGTGTGTCAATTATTGATTCAACATTTGGGCCGGCCCGGGCCATTGCCACGGCGACAGAGCAATGGAGGGCTGCAAATGGCATAATATAATAATCATTTGCGGTTTTATGGCAAGCCGCGACGCACTCGAGACATCGGAAATTGAAATTGAACACGTCACGGCAAATGGCCAGCGCGGCGCAAAACTGGTCGGGCCTGGTAACGCTCTGTCTGGGCCAGGAACGCGAGCAGGTACTTCGATTGATTTTGTGATTACTTGGGCCCACGCCAATATGGATAGCTTATGTGTGTTTAATGAACGGGAATGCTTCGAACATGGCCAGAAATACAAAAATTTGTCCAAGTCACGCATATGGCTGATCGCTGGGTGAGGTGCGGGTGGTGCCTGGGTGAATCCCCCGCAGTTAGTGCCAGTTAGGAGCATGTAATGTAATACATTCTGTTTCGACACTTTCGTTTTGTCACCATGCAGAGGCAGACGAGCAGCCAGCGCACATCCCTGACCAAGTCCAATGTGGCCGCAGCATTGGGCGCGCCGTCAAAGGTGAGTGCCGCACAGGCTGTGCCCAGACGGATTATGTTCCTCCCCCTCTTGTATATTGTGACAGGCGACTGTACGCTATATGCCCAGCTATCGGCTGGAGCCCAAGAATCCCCTGAACAAGGAACGTTTGGAGTTAACCATGCGCGCCATCATGAACAAGAACTATAACGATGATTATCTGTTCCATCCGAGACAGTCCTATCATCTGGCTGCCCAGGTCAGCGAAGAGATTAAGAACAGCATCAAACTTCTGAATTTCGATAGGTGGGTGGTTACTTATCCTCGATCCCAAATTGCCCTAAACTTTTGCCTTGTATGCCAGCCCAGATATCGCTACGTTGTGCTGGTGACCGTTGGCGAGCTACTGATGCAGGGACTCTGCTCCATGGTGAACTTCCTGTGGGATGCCGACAAAGATGGGTTTGTCACCTACACGATCGAGACACCCAAATTTGTAGCTGTCTGCACAATATTCTATTTGTACTATGATTGAGAGTGCGAAGGGAACCTAAAACCAAAGTTAATAAATATATAAGAACGAAATTGATATATGTGAAGGGAAGATATACGATGGATATAGAATAATAAATAAATATGATAAAATGAGAAAGGAAAGAATTGAGAAAAGTGCTTACAAAACTTAAAAACAGCTTCAATTTGAATTCCCATCGTTGCCGGGGGGTCTATGGTTTATATTTCCAGTGCTTTACGAATTGTCACTAATTCACTTTTTGGCACAATTTCGTTGAATACACTTGAAGAAACACTTGTAAATTGAATCAATATGTCACACACACACACGCACACATTAAAAGTCCAGTTTCCGTTTGTTCATATTTATTTGAATATCGTTTAAATATATATAATAGATATATAATATGGTGAAGCATAATTAATTGCATTTTATTTAATTAACTGGACGACGACTGCACAAAAACCAATTAACTATATAATTTATGTGGTTCTCTAAAACTTTTGTAGTTCCAATAGATTGTAGACATATGATAAATCGGTTAAGGAAGTCATAATATATTCAATATTTATATATATTATATAGGATGTTATATTGGCCACACACATGCACACACACACACAAAAATACACACACATACACGCACACTTTATCGCTCAAGATCATAATTTGTAAAAATATATGCATAGATATATATAGATAATTTATCTGTTCGACACTTGAACTCACACGAACATTGGGCGTGTATGCCTGGATTTATTATATATAGTATTATAGATCATATATAGATATCGATATACACCATACGACACAGAACTTGTTGTTGTTGGAGAGCGCAACCATAAGAAAACCAATGTAACATTTGCAAAACCCATTTCAACAATTCAAACATTTTGAAACAAATGCTACACGACGTTCTCTTTTCTAGCTGGAACAGAAATATTGCAAACAAAAACTCGGAACAGCTCACAATGCACAATATATGATATCATCTCGGTCGGGCAGGGGGGCCCAGTTCAGAGACACTTTAAAAAACACACAAAGTACCTGAATCCTCTTTTTCCTTGGGCGAGCAACAGAACAGAACGGAACTCAGATTTGAAAATATGCGATTTTCATTTTAGCAGTTAAATCACTTTCGGCCCACAAACAAACATATATATATATATATATGTATATATTTATATGGATATTACTAATGGGGCCCCCTATGTTAACATTCAAGCACTTCTTTTGCACTATTTTTGTTCACAGAAACGAAAACTTGGGTAAAACTCTCAGAACCAAATGAAAACTCTCAAAACTGATTCGAACTATTATAACACAATATGCAAAATAAGTTAACACAAAAACTGATGTACATATTTTTTCATTTTGTTAAAACTTTTTTAGTTGTAGTTGTAGTTGGTTTTTGCACTAGTTGCACATTTGAAAAGATATTGTATACAAAGCTTTTGTTTTGTTTGGTTTTTTTTGTTTTTGTTGTTGTTTTTTGTTGTAGTGTGGGATGAGGAAATCTTTACACTGTTTGTAAAAATAATTGAAATCAAATATACAATTAATAGTTATTAAATATTGAAAACTTTTGGCACAATTGTAATTAAAAAAATTTGTTTTGTTTTTCTTTTGTTTTTGAACTGTAGAAACTTTTACACTCTCACTACACAGGAAATCAGAATGTGTATGAAAAAACCATAAATAAGATTGATTGATTGATTGTTTGTTTAACAGATTGATTGAGTGGTCTGCAAAAAGAACAATAATAATTGGATTAATACAGATTCTGCAAAACTCAGTTCATATATGTATATAGAGTATCATATATGTGTGTGTGTGTCTTCTTCTTCTGGATCTGGGGCTAGGAGCTGTTGTCACAGGTAACTCCAATTGTCTATTGATTGAACTATGCTTCTACCAATACACATACATGCGCATATGTATATGTATATTTGTATTTTTTTTTTTGTGGGGGCTCTTGTGTAAGTCTACGACATCTAAATTACGTGTGCACAGAACTCGTCTGGGTTAGGGGATGGGTCCTGCATTTGTTGTTCTACTTCACCGATCACTGTGAGCAGCGGGAGAAGCTCTCTATTTTGTGGGTTTGCCCACAGTTTGTCCATTGTTTAGGCGGTGCCGCCACGCACAACCACAATGACCAGGTGATCCTCCTTGAGGCCCTCTTCGGTGAGGCTGTGGCAGGTGCGCTTTAATAGATCCGTGGAGAAGTCACACGGCGGGAATGCGTAGAGCACGCCCGTGGCCTCTGTCTCCTTATTCAGCAACGAGATGACGCCAGCTGCTTCCTTTTGCTTCAAGTAGGAGACGAGATTACGCAACGGACGCGTCTGCACGCTGGCATCATCGCAATCGGTGTCCACCGTGGAGCCAGCCAGGCCCATGAATATGGCATGCGATGATGAGGATGCTATGCGCTTTTGCACATCCTCCAGCTTTGGAGGATCGAGGCGCAATCTCTGAGTTATGCGCAAATTGTGCTTGCCCTCCTCGTCGCGCATCAGCGACTCGACAATGTCTGTATCGCCGTCTGTCAAATGAAATTTGGCCGGGAATAAGGAACTCTTCAGTATGAGTGCACCCGTCCAAATTGTGCTGCACTTGCGGGCCACCTCCGGAACTGTCGCCGCCGAACCGAGTGCATCGTTGCGCCGCGTTGAAGTGTCCGAATCCGAGCCAGGTGAGCGTGCACGCTTTAGTGGAGATCGGGAACGCGAACGTTCAACACCAGGTTCCCGTGAACCGGAACGCGCCCGATCGTAAGACTCTCCAGGCGGACGACGCCATTCATCATCGGCACCACCCGGTGGCGGCACAGATGACACACCACCCAGGGCACTCGGATGCGGCGGTCTGTGCACATCGTTATGATAGTGATACATGCCACGACCACGGCCGCGATAGCCGCCACCACGTCCACGATAGCCACCACGAGGCGGATATGGTGAGTAACCACCACGCGGAGGATACACAGTAGCCTCCTCATAATAAGGATCATACTCCGGTCGTCTATACTCTATGGCGCTCTCGTCATATGACGGCTTTGAGGTCTTGAATGGTGCCACCGGGGTAGCACCAGGCAGCTCCGCGAAATCGGTGCGCAACCTACGCTCCGGTCCGCCCAGTGGAAAGCCACGCATCTCCTTGACTGCCGCCGTTGCGGCCTCAACTGTCTCATATTGTATATACGCATATGGTTCGCCCTTCTGATATTCGATCTTCTTGATGGCACCGAACCGATCAAATTCACGCTCAAGCTGTGTAACCGAAGTCCATGCGCCGAGTCCGCCGATCCACATGCGTGTCGCCGGTGTGACCTTGCCGTAGCCAATCTTGCACTGGAACTTGCCAATGTACTGGCCGGATAGCTCGATTTTGGCGCGATGAGCCATGTCAAGGTTCTGATAGCGCACAAAAGCAAACGCGTTGCCTGTGCCAGGAGGCGGCCTCTTTATATCAATATCATCGACTACGCCATATTTACCGAAAATACGGCGTAGCTCGTCATCGGCAATAGTCACTTCCAGGTTGCCAGCAAAGAGCGTTCGCGTAGAGAGTGGATCATCTTCTGGCTGAACATGATGCAAATAATTGGGAAATTTATCCTTTTTACTTTCTGGCTTCTCGAACGGCACATGCGGCCGCGGGGCCATTGGACGCATCGGTGCATATTGATGTGGCGGTGGATGGCCATGCAGATGATGGGGATGGGTATGAGGATGACCACGATGCATTGGAGGGCCGCGAGGCGGGTGTGGATACTCATGGTGCATGGGTCGATATTCACGTGGGTGCACAGCATGCGGATGAATAGGTGGACCATAACGGTCATACGGATCAATTGGTGGCCGACGATGATCCAACGGCACGCCAGGTCCCATCGGCGACCGCGAATAGTGATAACGTTCATAGTCCGGTGGCGACATAGAGTGTCGAGGTCTATAAATTCAACGCCCAAATATAAATACCCAACCTCGTTATAAGTATTATAGTCGAGTGCACATACCTGTATTCCGGCCGTGTCGTTGACTTATAAACAGGCTCCACAATTGCCATTTTATCATAGATTATCAGGCGAGGCTTGTGATGTTTAGCCTCGCGCGCATCCTCGGGCGTGCGAAAGCAAACATAGGCGACACGTTCGTCCAGATCGTGTGCGAGTCGCACACTGAAATCGCCAAATTTCTTGTACTCGCGATAAAGCGTCTCCTCAATGAACTCGTCCGGCGCTTTTGGCGGCAGCGCACTCACACACAGAACTTTGTAGCCAGCGGGACGCTCTGCAGCGGGTGGACCGCGCATGTACGGCTCACGATGCGGTGAACCATAGCGACCACGGGGGCTCGGCGAGCGGTCCAAGCGACGCCTCATGCGGTCCGGTGACATGCGTTCGGGAGAATCGCCCGGCACACCGCCGCCATTATCGTAGCCACGACCCATGCTGCGCGAGTTTCTTACTAGGTTCCCTCTGCCTGGTGAGCGGGAAGCGCTACGTTTCATATTGTGGATTTTGACAGTTATTCGATCAAGTTCAGCTCCTTCTCTATGAATACTCATGAGCAGGAGCGGAAGCGGTTAATTGTGCCTTGGCCTTTTTCTTGTGACGAAGTCTGTGAATAAAGTTTATTTACAATTATTTGAAAATATAAGTAATAATTTTGTGCTGTTATTTGTATGCATAATACATACAAGGAATTGCAGCTGCAAATATGCGCACACATTAACATACGCTAAGTGAAATTAAAAGAAAAAGTGCACGCAATGAAAAGAAAATGGCGGCGAGACTGGCGTCGACGGGACAGGTAAAATAATAAAGTTCAAGACAAATCTAATGCATTTACATAATTAAAACACAACCTTCTTGCTAACTTACTTACCACTAACTTAATGTACGTTTTTAATGTACTAAACTTTTATTTTAGTTTCTTTTTATGCAGTGGCACTAAGAATTCCAACTTTCTGCGGTTCGCAATTTATGTATTCGACGAAAAAAAAGTGTGGTGACAAGATGATGCAGCAAATATATCGATATTTCCAGCTTATTCGCTATATCGATACCTAGACAACGTTTTTATTTTTAAATAATTTTTGTTTCGTTTTAATAACCT